CGCGCGCGCACACATATATATACATATTCCGGCATACCTGGGGACCCTAAGGATCAGAGTAGGCTCCACAGAATTCCTGGGTGCATGAACCAGAGGCAGGACTGGGGGTTATGGGGCAGGCCATCCTGGGCCCCAGCTCCTGTCCCCAGGGATCCCCTTGCCTCCAGCACAAGCACTTCACTGAGGACATCCAAACTCGGCAGTACCGGGCTGTGGAGGTACTGATCGGTGCTGAGTATGGGCCCCCGGCAGACATCTGGAGCACAGCATGCATGGTACGCTGACTGGGCTGCCCTCATGCCCAGGGCCAGTCTACCTGCCAGCAGCTTCACCTTTCCCATTCATTCCAGGCCTTCGAGCTGGCCACTGGCGACTACCTGTTTGAGCCTCACTCAGGAGAAGACTACAGTCGTGATGAGGGTAGGGGAGGCAGGCTGAGGGCTCAGCCTTGGGGCCTTGGGGCCTTGGGGCCTCCTGGCCTCCTGGCCACCTGCCTACTAGCCAACTTCCTCTCTGCCCACAGACCACATTGCTCATATCGTGGAGCTTCTGGGTGACATCCCCCCAGCCTTTGCTCTGTCAGGCCGTTACTCTCGAGAGTTCTTCAACCGAAGAGGTGGGGACCAGTGGGCTCAGGCCACCTGGCTGGGGAAAGGGTGGGACATGGACCCTGGGTTCTTACATAGAAGGAACACTGGTTCCCAGAAAGCCAGAGACTTTCCTAGCAGAGTCCAAGTGCCAGCTGGCCTGGGGATGCAGCCTAATGCTGCCTGGCCCCCCAGGAGAGCTGCGGCACATCCACAATCTCAAGCACTGGGGTCTGTATGAGGTGCTCATGGAGAAGTATGAATGGCCCCTGGAACAGGCAACACAGTTCAGCGCCTTCCTGCTGCCCATGATGGAGTACATCCCTGAAAAGCGGGCCAGCGCCGCCGACTGCCTCCAGCATCCCTGGCTCAACCCCTAGGTCCTACTGTAGCTGTAGGCAGTAGGGGGTTGGGCCTGGCTCTGTCCCTAGCTCTCAGTGCCTTAAGGGAAAGTGGGGTGACTCTCACCACCCTGTAGGAGCTACCCTCTCCTACCCTGCTGAATGCCAGCTTTTTTACCCACCCATGGCAGGAGAGAGAAATGCTGGGGCCAGGCCCATGTCTCAGAACTTCTCTGCCCACAATTCTCCTGGAAGATCCTCTGGTGGGAAAGTATGTGTTTCTTTCTTAATAAAGCGTGAACAGAAATACCAGTATCCTGGAGTAAGGGAGTCACATGGCTGAGTTCTGGGGCAGAAGTGGGTTTATTTTGGGGTCTGCCTACCAAGCCTACTGGGGGTGCTGGAGTGAGAAGGCGGATCTAGGAATGGGCTGACAGCCCCAGGGAGAGCCTAGGCCTCCACAGCCCGGCCGTTGATGATGCGGATACGGCGGATGATGTCCTGGATGGCTTGGGAGGTAGTGCCCTGGCCCCCGATGTCTGGGGTGTGCATCTGTAGAAGATGGGAAGTTTAGGTACATCAGGCATGTCAACACCTGCCCCCACCTCAGGGTGAATTAGGGTTGCCCACTGTCTCCTGTAGCTTGCAGGGCCTGGAAATGCCACCAGGAGGGTAGGGGTACCAGCTAAGGCCCAGAAGCCTACCTGGTACCACCCTCCCCTTGGGAAACACAGTCAATGCTGGTCACTGACTTCAGCCTCTCCGGCTGGTCACAGCAGCTCAACATGGGTTAGAGGAAGGAAGGTCACAGCATGGGGCCAGGAAGGGACAAGAGGAGCCTTACATTTTCGTTGTCCATAGATGCTAAGACAGCTTTGCGGATGGAGGTGGCATAAGAATGAAGCCTAGGAGAGGGAAGAGCCAGACTTTGGTTGTCATGGCCTAGAGGGCTGGCCAGGAGGCTCATGGCTGGGTACTGGGACATTACTTACTTGAGGTGGTCTAGCATCATGCAACTTGCTAGCAGTGTGGCTGTGGGGTTGGCAATATTCTTATTGGCAATACTCTTGCCTGTGTTCCTTGTAGCCTGGAAAAGGAAGGACAAAGTAGAGTGGATGGAAAACATCAAGGGCATAGGGGCAGATGATTATACTCATGTGACATGCCTAGCAGAGGCATAACTCTAGATAGAAAGCAAATGAAGGGATGCCAGGGGCTGGGGAGAGGAAATGAGGAGAGCCTGCTCATGGATGAAGTGTTTTCTTTTGGGGTGCTGGAAATATTTGGGATTTAGATAGTGCTCATGTTTACACACCATTATGAGGGGTGTGAATTAACAATCCAACAAGGCTGCTGTAAGAGAAAGATGGTGGCATCCAGGCACTCACCGTCTCAAATACAGCATACACATGGCCATAGTTGGCCCCAGCCACCAGGCCTGGGCCTCCAACCAGCCCTGCGCAGACATTGTTAACAATGTTGCCGTAGAGATTGGGCATCACCATAACGTCGAACTGCTGGGGCCGGGACACTAGCTGTGGAGCAAGGAGAGAGCTAAGTGTGAGAAGCCCAGGGTGCCCAGGGCAGGAAGTTGTGGAGTTAGGTGGGTCCCTACCTGCATGGTGGTGTTGTCCACAATCATGTTCTCAAAGGTGATCTGGGGGTAGCGGGCAGCCACCTCCCTGCAGCACTGGAGGAAGAGCCCATCACCCAGTTTCCTAGAGGGAGATGAGGAGGGACAAAGGACACCAGCTTGATCCATCATCACAGGCAGAGGAACAGGGCATACAGAGGGCCTGAAGGTTAAATTCTAACCTACCCCTCCATTTGCAAAATGTGCATAATTTTGTCCCACTAAGTGTGTTCTGTAGTGAAGCCAAAGACTTCAGGGACAGTAGGATACACTCTTGGGTGTGGACCCTTGGAGGGTAGACATTGTCCTAGATCCCGAGTCCCTGAAAACAGGCCACTCCAACTGCCTGAAGGATGACTAAAGAGTGGGTAGGAGGATCAGTTTACATACATGATGTTGGCCTTGTGCACAGCTGTCACCTTCTTGCGCCCACTCTCATGGGCTAGCTTGAAGGCATATTCGGCAATGCGTAGGGACTTGGCCTTGGTGATAATCTTCAGGCTCTCCACCACTCCTGCCACGCTCTGAGAAGGGGCCAGGAGATTAGTGAACAGCACAATGGGGGGTGCTATGGGACATAGCCCTATTGCTGAGTACTTCTGGCTTCTCCCTTAGGTACAACCCTTGTCCTTTGGGGACCACCTCTTCCTGGTTCCTTAAGGTCTCTCTTCAACACTGACCCTGGCTGAGCATATCCCCAGATTTCCATAATCCAACAGGGTCACCTGTTTTTTGTTTTGCTTTTATATTTTTTTTTAGCTGTAGTTGGACACAATATCCTATTTATTTATTTATTTGTTTGTTTATTTATTTTTTTATTTTTATGTGGTGCTGAGGATTGAACCCAGTGCTCACACATGCTAGGCAAGTGCTCTACCACTGAGCTACAGCCCCAGCCACAGTCACTTGGTTTTGCGCACCTCATGCTCCAGGCTGCTGTACTCGCCCTCTGTATTTTCCCGCACAATGAGAATGTCTATGTCCTTGTGACGGGTCACCACACCTGGCAGGCTCTTACAGTGAATGACGTTAGCGTAGAGGTCCAGGCTTGTGCTACAAGGGGGACAGAGAAAGAGGCAGGCTAGGCCTGAATGGCAGCTGGCTGGAGGTATGACTCTGCTGGCACAGCCGACCCTGGGCTTTGTTGAGCCACCACCCCATGTACTTGGCTCTCACCGAAGGATGTTGTTTCGGGATTTGTGAGATGGTGGCAGGTTATGGTTTGTTTCGATGTTACCTACAGAACGAAAATAAGACAGGCAAGTTGGAGAGGGGCTCCTGGCCCCAAATCCCTTTGCTTGGCCCAGGGGATGTGAACTGAAGGCTGCTCAACTGGAGGAAAAGATGGCTTTCACATCAGAATACTTCACAGAACACTAGGATGCAACTTCCAATGAGGGTAGATGCGTGTGTGGTTTTTTACCAATGGATTCTGAGGACCCAGAAAAGCATTTGGCTCATAGCAGGCATTCAGTAAATATTTACTAAATGAATGAATAAATCCAATTGGCAGCTGGCAAGGAGACCCTACCACTCCCTGCCCAGGATCTGCCCTGATAGAAAGTGACCATTCCTGCTTATCAGCAGGCTGGCTGGCCAAGCCAGAACCATCAAAGTGACTTTAAATGGGACTACTCCTAGGCTCAGGGACAGTCAGGGTCTGCCTGGAAAACGCCAGGCTCTGTCACGTGGCCCAGGCACCGAGAATGGAAGCAGGGGCCCAGTGAGTCCCAGAGGCCAGCAGCCACTAAGAGAAGGTAGATAGAGGTTAACCAGCAGAAAAGCCTTTTTGACAGCCCAAGAGGAACACCTGCTTCTCTGAGCTGCCCCTACCCAGACTTCCTTCACCCAGAGTGCCTAGGGCACTCTGTAGCTGCCATGTATACTCTTCAACTTGACTACCAGCACCTACGGCTCCACCTGGTTCATCACTGCTCACAATCTCCTTACAGAGCAGATGAGCTGAAGAACGCAGAGGACCTGAGCCCAACCAAGACAAACTCAGGAGGGGCTACCAGAATCCTCATGGGAGTCACAGCATCAGCAGGCATACAGAAGTTTCTATTCAGACTCTAAGCACAAGGGCCCTCTCTAGACAGAAAAATCCCAAAATTGGAGCCATGGGTCCCCACAAGAGTCACCTTGGGCTGGGCATGGTGGTGCAGGCCGGTAATCCCAGTGACTCGAGAGACTGAGGCAGGAGGATCACAAATTTGAGGCCAGCCTCAGCAAATTAGCAAGGCCTGGTCTCAAAATAAAAAATAAAAAGGGTTGGGGATGTGGCTTAGTGGTTAAGTGCCTCTGGGTTCAATCCCTGGTACACCCCCCACCCCCAAAAAAGGTTTGGACATAAAAGAACTCAGTGCAGAACCCTACCTGGCCCTTGAGCTTACCCTTCAGGGCCACACGGTTCCGACGGATGGCCATGATGGCATTGCGAATGTCCTCCTCATCGGCATTGGAGCTTACATGCACTTCTTCAAAGTCCACGGGCACACATGCATGCCTGGGGCAGAGCTGGGTCAGGGTGGCTGGCTCAGGGCCTCCCATACCTCCTCCAGGAAACATGCCCAGGCTCTAGCTGAGAGGGGACTAGGCCCACCCACGCCAAATGATAAGGACATGTTTGAGCTCTACAATGCAGTGAGCAGGACTGCCACCCTCCCATATAAAGCCAGCCTGGTGGGAATGGAAGCTTTCCTGTCACCACCTTGCTAAATGCTCAGGAAAAGTCCTGGCTAGTGGCTTCTGGGCTCACTGCCCTTACTGGGACAAAGTTCTCAGGGCCCTCTGTTGGAGCTAGGGCATGACCTTCCCTAGGGGTCAAGGCAAGAAAAAGTGGCCTGAGGTCTCCATACCTGAACACAGACTTAACATGCAACATGAGCTCTGGCCCAATGCCGTCTCCTGGAATCATAGTCACTGTGTGTCGTCCACCATACTTAGCCGATGGAGGCTGGAAAGATGGAGAGGGTAAAGACGGGCCTTTGGATATTTCCACATGCTCACTGGCTCAGCAACCCAGGGGCTCAAGCTAGTTCCTTTCTTCCCACCAGCAATGATTCCATACATTGGCCAACCGTGTGGTTCTAGCTTGGTGTATCCCCATCCCAAACAGGACTGATCATCTGAGTCCCTGGTCAGCAGCAGCCCCCAGGCCCACCCAAAGCAACTAAAACACCCCCCCAGATCTAACTCAGAGGAAAAGAAGAATACTCACAATTGTTTGTTGCTAGAAGGAAGACAGAAAGGAAGAAGACATGGATCAGCCAAGGTTGGAAGAACAAGGCTGTGACGGAGAAACCGGGGTCTTTTCCCTGGGGACAATGTCTAGCACAACTTAGGGAAGGGTGAGGTATGAGTAACCTCTGGAGACTGTGCCTCAGAGGGAAGGACACGAAGGCAGGGAGCAAAGAGGCATGGGCACTTGTGCATGCATATGTGTATACACACACTGCATGTGCACACAATTGCACACACAAACTTGTGCACCCCCCAACATATGGACAATTATACTCACACTTAGGCACACACGCCCCTGGGAGGCAGGTACTTACTGAGGAGATACTCCTCCGAGGGACCTCATGGGTACCCAGAACCTGCCAAAGAGAACCCAAATCAAAGTGTTGGTTGTCCATCCCTGAGAGTCAAGTTGGCCAAGGTCTCTTGACAGGGAGAAAGGATTAGCCCCACATGCCCAAACAAACCCCACCTGTGCATCACCAGCACACAATGTGCCCAGGAAGGTTGGCTCTAAAGCCCATTGCCAGTGACTGGCCCTTGGAGCACCACTCGAAATTGTTCCAATGCTTCACGCCTCCTTTGGCTCTTGGGTCAGTTTATTAAAAAGCTTTGTGTCCCAGGCTGGGATTATGGCTCAGCAGTAGAGCACTCATGTAGCACATGTGAGGCCCTGGGTTTGATCCTTAGCACCACATAAAAATAAATAAATAAACGTATTGTGTCCAACTACAATTAAAAATAAATATTAAAAAAAAAAAGCTTTGTGGGCTGAGGATGTGGCTCAAGCAGTACCGTGCTCGCCTGGCATGCATGTGGCCCGGGTTCGATCCTCAGTACCACATGCAAACAAAGATGTGTGTCCACCGAAAACTAAAAAATAAATATTAAAATTCTCTCTCTCTCTCAAAAAAAAAAAAAGCTTTGTGTCTCCCTGCCCCCCCTTTTTTTGCTTTTGATTCTTTTTTGGCCAATTATTGCTGTCCAGTGATGTCTACAACAAGGAAAAATTGGCAAAGTAAATGTGGTGCAAAACAGAAATCATTACAACAAATCACAGGGCCATAACAATAATGTTATCATATATTTTGTCATTTTTCCTTTTTTTTTAGAAGAGAGAGAGAGAGAGAGAGAGAGAGAAAATTTTTTAAATATTTATTTTTTTGTTCTCCGTGGACACAACATCTTTGTTGGTATGTGGTGCTGAGGATCGAACCCGGGCCGCACGCATGCCAGGCGAGCGCGCTACCACTTGAGCCACATCCCCAGCCCTTGTCATTTTTCCTTATTACACAGTCACTACAGTAAAAACAGAACCGGGAGATAAGGAGAAGACAGCAACCAGCTGCTCTGTGACAAGGACTATCACTCCCTAGGGAATGGCCCTTCAGAAGAAAACTTAAACATGAATGTGTAGGGAAATGCAGCCATTTCTGGAAGACTCATGACAGAAACCAATTTCTAGGAAGGCTTTTGTAAAGGACTGCAAGCTGCTTCATGGCCTGGATGATGAATGTCCCCAACCCCCTAAGTAGGAAACAGCTGTCTGGCCATGCCAGAGCCACATCTGACAAGTTCAGAGTAAAAGCTGCCTAGGCCAAACAGGCCAGGTGCTGAGAAGTGACCCACTGTCTTCAAGGGAGAAGCCTGTGTCCCAGACCCTGCTGCAGGAGAACTTTCCTCCCTTCCCTGATGTGCTCCACCTGGGAACACACCCAAGGAGATAGTACAGAGCCAAGGTACTCTTTGTTATTTGGGGAAGTCCTGCCACTTGCCCACTAGGCAGCAGCAGAGTGTTGTAGCCATTGGCAGAGGCACTGTGGCCATCTTCTAAAGAGCTGTGCCTTTCTACTAGAAGTCCCGAAGGCTCACATAGAATCTAATCATTCTCCATCTGGGTCCACCTGACTTGCATTAACAAGGGATCCACTTGCCCAAATGCTAGCAATGCAGTATGCCAGTCACTGGCCCAAGCTAGGAGGGGGTGACCAACTGAGACCACAGTCCCAAGGGCACCTCGTTATCTGTGTGGCACATGAATTTGCAGCCATAGACACACTTGAGACTTTCTGTTTTCTTTCTAGCACTTGTCAACATCTGGATTCATCTTATTTGTAGTCTCTCAATACAAGCTTGGAGAAGGCAGTTTATGGCCTACCCCCAGAGAGTTTTCCCTGATGTCCAAAAGCTGCCAAGCTGGGCTCCCAAAGCTTTACCTATTCCCTTCCAACCACCATTAAGGAACACCTCCCTAGTTTACTGAAGTATTGCTCTCTTCCCATCCTCTAAGAGCAGAGGTCATACCTCTCTTGTCTCCCACTGTCACTCTTCTCACTCTAAGTGCTTGATCCAGAGTTGTCACACAAGGGACATTTCCTTACTGAACAAGCACATCAGAAAATGAAGAGATAGATGGCAACCAGGCAGATCTCAGTCCAAATCCACCATCTGCTACTCTCAAGATGGCTTCATAGCCCCATCTGAAATCCCTATTTCATGTGACTGCTGGAAAGCAGGTATGTGAGCTGTTCACAGGTCCCAATAGGGCAGCAGGGGTTGTGCTAAGGGACAACTGCCCCATTCACCCTATCAGACCCTCAGATCAGACAGAGTTCAAAGCTATTGTTGTTGGAGAATATAGGGTTGACCCCTGCACCTCCCAGCAATTAATTCCTCCTGGGCCCTGTTTAGCTGTAGCAATGAGCCAGTATCCTGAAGGCCTACAGGTCTGGCTTGAAGTCTATGCAGTCCTGCCTATGTATGCCACCAGGGCTGAACCTCTCCCACACTTGCTTCTTATGCCAGATGTTTCACTGGGCTCTGGCCAAAGTCCCAGAGAACTCTTCAGAGAGAGACTTCCCTGACCTTGCTCAATATAGATGCAGGCATCTTCCTTCAGGAGGTTACAAAGGTTCTGCCTCATACCTAGCTTGCCCCATGAAGCTACCAAAGGAGCCCAGTATGAGGCAGGCTGGGATGTACACAGGCATGTATCATCCATCATCTTTTGATAGTTCCACAGAAACAAGGGTCCAGGATGCAGCATGCTCCTGCTGAAGGGCTCCCACATGCCACATCTTACTATATAGCTTCTCTTTGGCACTTTTCTGTTGGATCAAGTGCCAATAGTGGCTGCATGTTTTCCAAGGAGGTCCCAACAAGTGGGACCCTAAATCTGGAGTTCCTTTATAAGGTTTGCCCAGGACAACCAGTCTCAGGGCAAGGCTCCATCTGCCTATGAACTGTTCGCTGTTCCTTACTACCACCCCAAGGGCATCCACAAGCACCTACACATGGGGGGGGGGTCAGGGAGGAGAGAAATGTCTTCACCAAGAGCCTGCAGGTACCATCGAGGACTCTAGAAATCCTTTACATGTTGCTGTTCTTTCATTAGTGATGTGGAAGAAGTCAGCATTTTAAAGAGAATTTCATAATGCATAAGCAGTCTCCCCCAGAGGACAGAGGGGAGAGCCTTGGCAAATGGAAGCATCCACAGGAAGTGTTTACAAAATCATGGAGTTCTAGAAGGTCAAAATTTGCAGGATCCTTTGAGAATAAGAAGTCATCTCCCTTCACTGGACAGAAGGGAAATTGGAACCCAAAGGAGGAGGAGGAGCCTGGCCTAAGGCCAAGCAGTGGGTCAGTGGGGGAGCAAGGCTCGGAGGTCATACCTCTTATACCCCAGGGCCAATATTTGCTTGTAGCCGCTATGTAGTGCTAACCAGGACCTAAGCTATCCTCATCTCAAACATGTTTGAGAAGGGAAGAATCGGACCAGAATAAACAAGATACCAAATGCAGAACTGAGGAAGCAAAGACCCTGCAGTCTCTAGCACCCCCCAACCCCTGCCGCAGCTTCGGAAACCCTGACTTCTCATTACTAGCGCTTGGGGAGAGAGGAGTCTGGGAATGTAAGAATGTGGGAGGGATCAGGGGTGACTGGCTAAGTCCAATTATGCACTAGGGCAGGCGGCAAAGCGGTCCACTTGGGAAACCCGAGGAGGAATTGAGTATAGAACGGGATACCCAAGGCGGCATGAACAAGGCGGGGCCGGGACACGTGACCACCTCAGGAGGGCTCCCACAAGCACACCAAGAAGGTGACACTCAGCCGCCGCGGCCCACCCACAGCCCCCGCCACGAAATACAGACCCCTGGCGGAGCCAGACCAGGGCCAACTTTGGCCAATCCCGTCACTGACAGCAGAGGTGGCCAATGAACCCCGGCGCACAGCGCTCTTCCCCGCCCCTCTCGAGATCCGCAGCCAATCGAACTCCATTCTGCTCAAAGAGCGGCTGTCCCTGTCCCGGCTCCAATGGGGTGCAAGGACCCCAGCAAGTGCTGCAGCTGTCCGGTGTCCCGTTCCCCACTCACCTCCCAAGGACGACAAAGGAGGGCTGGCCTGAGCACTGTCTTCGCAGCGCCACCGGCGGCCGTCGCCACCTTCAGCGCCATGACAGAAAGTGAGAGCCGCAGCAGGTTCCAACGTTAAGACACTGTTCTCGCGAGAGATCTGCAGGGCGAGAATCCTGAGGGCACCGGTCCAGCATTGCGCACGCGCGAGGCCGCGCCGGTTCCCACGCCCCCTTCCGGTGCCCTCAGTACCGCTGCCGCCATCTTGAGTGGGGGGCGCGGCCGGCTGGGCCTCTGGCTCGGGGAGGGGACACGTCAATGCCGCCAGCGACGTCACGAGGCCCGACCCGGACTGCTTGGCCGCGATTGGCTGTCGCAGCCGCTTACGCGTCGCTCTTCCTCGTCTGCCCCGCGTGTTAGGGGAGCTCGCTCTCTTTTTCTCTCGGCAGAGAAGAGGCGATGGCGGCGATGGCATCTCTCGGCGCCCTGGCGCTACTCCTGCTGTCCGGGCTCTCTTGCTGCTCAGGTAGCGGCCTGGCCGGAGCTTGTTTCTGGCGAGCCTGTCCCACGGCAGGTGGTGCTGGGGGGTGAAGGGGTACGGGAGAAGCAGGGGTCTGGCCCTTCCCGAGGCTTATGGCTACCGGCCGGGCCTTCCTCTGAGAGGCAGGTGGCCTCGGGGTGCAGGGACCAACGTACCACACACACGTTTACCTAGCAGCCGGGCTGCTGGAAGAAACAGACATCCTTCTCGTCTGCTTATGGGAGAATCCCAATGCCAGCATCGTTCTCTTGGCCACCAGTTCCAACAGGGAAGGTGACACAAGTCCCTGCTCCTGCTCCCTGTCTCAGAGGGTAGTGGGACGGGAGCAAGGCTATACAGCACGGAACAATAACGGTGAGAAACAGGGCTGGCAGAGAGGAACCACCTGAGCCTGTGCGGTGCAAGCCAGGCTTCCCCAGGAAAGTGAGAGCTAAGTGAGAAGGAGCAAGGACAGTCCAGACAAGGGACAGCAGGAGCACCAGGCAAGTTAGGGAGCTGTTGACTTTCCCTGACACTCTTGGTGTGTTCATCCTAGGGTTCTCAGCTAAGTTGAGCCACAGTCTCACTGATTTACATCCGTGAGTGACTCTTAACACCTCAGTGGGGGGGATGAGTCCAGTGTATTTATGAGGTTGTTGGCAGTAGCTGCATCAGGTGTGGGGGCCTAGACTGGGCAGGAACTGCCTTTTGACCATACAGTTTCCTGAATACTTCAAGGCCAGCATCAGCCTAACTGGCCTCCCTGCCCATACATTTCCCACCCACCCCTCAGGAATTCCTCAAGGCCATAGCCAGGAATTTTTTAAAAGGATAAACCTGACTATAAAACCTTTCAGAGGCTTCACAGTGTGCACACAGAACACTATGGTATCTGGCCCCTGAGAACCATCCTTCACTACCATTTGTAGGCATTTTCCTTCTGCTGTCCAGACCCAAAGTCTTTTCTTGACTTCCTTAACTTAAGCCATTATTTTAACAGGTCATCACATTCAGAGAGCAGTTGGTTGAGAACTTTTCCCGCTTAGGGTAGTGTTTGCTTCATGCCCTCTGACATAGGTAGCACTCTTCTTTTCCTGTGGCTGTCTGTGGGTATGGAGATGGCTACAGTTGGCTCCTTTTTCTCTGGGCTGCTGAATTTACAGGAACAAGTTCTGTGCCTAAATCCAGAGCCCCTCCCATTTGCTGACCCTGGGAACCACTGAGGCTATTCTTGGCCTTCTGTCAACCAGCTGGGAACCTAGACCCTTTTCCTTATCTTGAAAGCTCCTGTACCTTGCCACCACTCTGCTTGGTGTCTCTGCTGAGGATGCTTTCAGTAAGTTGTCTGGGCAGTTCATGGCTCTACATTGAGGCTAGCCTGGCTCCCTGAGCTGCTGGGGTGTACCGTACCCAGGTAGGTTAGTTATATGGCTTCCCCTTCATAGGTCCAGGCACTAACATGCGTGGTGCAGTGAATCCAGCCTGTTCATGCTCCTCAAATACATGCACTTTCTCTTCCCTTGCCATTGCATTGAGGTCCACCTCTTTACCTGGCTGACCAGGAAGGTTTTCTTGCCCCACTGTTTCCTGCCTTCATAGCCATCAGACTCCCCTTTTTCACTGTACTTACTGTACTTATGCATGAGCACTGGGATTGGTCCCCCAGTCCACACCTGACGGGGGCAGAAGGACCTGTGTGTCCTCAGCTGACTGGACCTGGGAGGCAGAGCTGGGGCAGACCAGCCTAGCACACATAAGCCAGCTTTGTCTTCTCCCTACAGCAGAGGCCTGTGTGGAGCCCCAGATCACCCCTTCCTACTATACCACTTCAGATGCCGTCATTTCCACGGAGACTGTCTTCATCGTGGAGATCTCCCTGACATGCAAGAACAGGGTTCAGGTGAGACAATGGGGCTTCAGTCAGGAGGGTGTGGAGTGGGAATGATTCTTCTCATTGGCAATTGACAAAATCTGACCCAAGGGCCATGTTGACAGGGAGAATAAGGATTCCAATTCTTGGGGGTGCAGGAGAGATAAGGGCACAGCAAGGACAGATCTTAGCGAGTATTTAAGAGCATTTCCTAACTTGCTCATGTTTGCTTTCCCTCCATGCAGTAACCTTACAGAGATACCCATGTTTCAAACATGAATGTCTGGAACATGAGAAAGGGCTGGGTTCAGGCCCCTCCCTCTCTTTTCTGGTTGTTGTTTGCAAGAGTGTGTCCTTGTGGGTGTTTTGTTAAATTATAACACTCCTTGAGTTAAATTCCTCTTAGGCACTCCTTGACCCTAGCATCTTCGTTTTAGGTGCTGAGAAATAACAAGGACGTTTTCATCATGGGTCTTCTGTTCACAGTTAACAGACTTATGGGGGATTTTCCCCCAGGAAGAGACAGAAAAGACAGTGACAGGGCAGTGGTTGGGTTCCTAATACAGCTCCAGGTTATGGTAGGCCTGTCCTTATGGTTCTTACATGGTGGCCCCTACCAAGCACACTGCAACCCCCAGATAGGCCTGGCCTCCCTGCCTACATTCCTGACACTGCTGTAGGTAACACGATGGGGTCTCTGCCTGCATCCACAGAAGATGATGATGACTCTCTCTTTGTCTCCTCATCCAGAACATGGCTCTTTATGCTGATGTCAGTGGAAAACAGTTCCCTGTCACCAGGGGCCAGGATGTGGGCCGTTATCAGGTAAGGGATGCTGAGCCAAGGGTCAGGGAAGGCTACCTGCTCGTGAGCATGACTTGAAGGCTGCTTGTATTGATACTATGTCAGCATTGGTAGGGTGGCCCCTCAGGTGTCCACTGTGCCCACCCCCTACCAAACACACTCAACCAGGTGTCCTGGAGCTTAGACCATAAGAGCGCCCATGCAGGCACCTATGAGGTCAGATTCTTCGATGAGGAGTCTTACAGCCTCCTAAGGAAGGTAAGTATTGCTTGGAGGCCCCAGTGAGGGAGGGCAAGCCCTGCCCTCCTGCAGCTTCAGCCCTCTAGGGAGCTCACTCATGTGGAGCAGGATGGGCTGGGTGGGTGTCTTCCTGTGCTCCTACTCCACTCGTCCCACCTGTTACTTCCTCCTTTCTCTCCTTTGTTCTTCTGTGTTCCTGCCTTTCCTGCCCCTCTCCACCCCACCTAGACAACCCATTAAGTGTTCCCTGACCCCAGTACCTCCCTTGCAGGCTCAGAGAAATAATGAGGACATTTCAATCATCCCACCCCTGTTCACAGTCAGCGTGGACCATAGGGTGAGTGTCCTACTCCCAGGGGAACACTTAATATGTGGCACACCTCTTTTTAAGAGGGTTGGGGGTTGAGGGAAAGTTCTCTTCCTTTGCAGCCCCAGCTCTACCTGTTGGGCCATCATTAACCAGTGTGCCTTGTGTGCCCTGAGGGCGGGTGACTGGATCTACTCCCCTGAGCTAAGCTTTTGGTCTTTTTTCTTTCAGGGTGCCTGGAATGGGCCCTGGGTCTCCACCGAGGTACTGGCTGCAGTAATTGGCCTAGTGATCTACTACCTGGCCTTCAGTGCGAAGAGCCACATCCAGGCCTAAGGGTGGCACCCCCAGCTTTGCTTCTTTCAATAAACAGTCACTGGTTGTCATGAGTACATTTGGAACACAGGGCTCCTGGCTGACATTGCCATGCCTTCCTCACACTAGGAGAGCTGGGCACCCAGTGTGCCCTTTGCCCTCCTCAACAGCAGAGGTCAAACCTTCCCCATAGTGTCCTATGTCCACCTTCTCTGTGTCTGTCCTGGTTGCTGGCATGTTGGGCATGGATCCATCCCTTTCCTTCCCAGCACCTGACCCCCTCAGTGAAGACTGCTTTGTTCTCTCCTGTTCTCACCTGGTCCCCTGTGGCAGAGCTGTCAGCCCTCTATCTGGCCTCTTAATGGGGCCTCTTCCCATGGTTGGCCTGGGACAAGTCCCTATGACCTCTGATCCTGCCTCCGGCTGGGAAGCATGGGGTGCTACTCTGCTGCACCTGTGCCTTTAGGAATGGCATGTACTCTAGCCTGGCCAGAGAAGGCAGAGACTTTTCTAGTTTACCCATAATCCTTTAGTGTGTGCCATGGACACTTGTCATCTTCACAATGGCTTCTATTTGGAGCCTGGGGCATGAGTCACATACAGGTACTTTGCAGTGCTTTGCTGAGCAGTGAGGTCCCATCTTGCAGATGGAGTTAAATCTGGTATGTGCCTCAACACCCCACAGCTGTCCAGGCAGAAGCTGCCTCCAAACTCAACACCTTGGCCACTTTCTTATTTATTTATTTAATATATATACATATTTTTTTTTTTTTAGTTTTTAGGTGGACACAATATCTTTATTTTACATTTATGTGGTGCTGAGGATCGAACCCAGTGCCTCATACATGGTAGGCAAGCGCTCTACCACTGAGCCACAATCCCATCCCCTAGCATGGGTATTTAGAAAACAGACTCCCCTACCTTGGAAAGCCCACTACTCCCTCCTAGTGATCCCTCATGAATACCCAGTGCCTTCAGCACATCAGGCAGGAATCCATGCATGTGCGTGTGGACAATGCTCCAGCTCACCCTTCCAGCTACTTGCATGGTCAGTGGCACTAAGTAAGCACCCTGGGGTCCAAAGGGGCTGGGTGCAAATTCTGTGAACCCTTTCCAGCTGCATGACTGCCTACTACAGGGTGTCAGGGAATTCTTGAGACTAGTCGGTAATGTCCTGGTACCTGAGAACACAGTCACCATTGGCCGTTACAGAGGAAATGGTATAGCCATTCCAGAAAAAGGAGGCAAGGCCCCGAGCCTGCTGGGAGGACAGTATCCAGGCTCCCTCCCCTGCCTAGGCTCTGCCACAGGCCTAGGAGGGCTGGAAGGAGTAGGAGGGTGTGAGGGTGGGCTTGTCCACCTACCCAGGTCTGCTAAGGGGCCTCCTCTAGACTATAGGAAAGTGGGTTGAGGTGGGCACAACTAAAGAGTTGGGCCCAAGGGGATCAGAACATACTAGCTCAGGCAGCAGATGAGCTTTCTGGAGTCCAGGGATAAAACCCAGTGCTGGGAGCAGTAGCTGCTCCCCTGGCTGCTAAGGAATGACTATTCTTTATGTTCTGCCAGCAGCCTAGCCTATGCAGGAAGACGGCAGCCCAGTTGCTTTTCTTGGTTCTGGCTCAACCAGGCAGTCTGATGGTAGTAGGACCCAAATGTGAAGACACTGTTCCAGGGCATCAGTAGCCAAGTGCTACCAGCCCTCCTGGCGCCACTTCTCCTTGAGATGGCCAAAGGACTCCAGGCTCTGGGCCCATCTTGGCCCATATCCTGTGAATACCCCATAAGAATAATGGGGAAGTGAGTCCCCAGAGGAAGGAACAGTTGGCCTTGGTTTCCACATATTCCCTCCCAGGGGCAGGAGGCTGATTTTGGTGTACCACACCCTTGGCTGTGGAATGGGAGAACTAGTCTTCCCTATTCCCACCTCCACTGCTTCAATGAGCCTGTCATCCACTCCCCTGCTCATTGTTGCTCCTAGGCAGGACTGCCATGTGACATGCTGGGCCTTCCCTCCCAGAGCCATTCAGTGTGGCAGACAGATGAGGCTGCACCCCTATGTCCCTGCCTTCCTGGCAGGAGGATGTGGCTTCTGGAAATGGGCCCTTGGATTTTCCGCTCACCCATCAGAGCATCATATCCATCACCAAATTGCTGCCTGCATCTCTGCATTTAGAATTTAACCAACTGCTATCTCTTTCTCCAGGATAAATAGCATGATGAGAATGAACACAGGGAGGCCATGATTCAACCAAGTAGAAAGGCAGCTTGCTTTATTCTTGAGATGCAGGTGGGGGCAGGGTGGGACAGCCTGCCTGCCTCCAATCTGGGGCTCTCCAAACCTGAGGGGCACCACTTGCAAACTCCAACACCTGGAAGTGGGTGAAGGCCAGATGTGCATCTCTCCTGATCAGCCCACCTGCCTGTCACTAGGTCCAGGCTTCTGGTTGCCACCAAGTCCTCTCCAGGCCAGACGGCCTGAGGTCTTCCACTTGTTGTTCATGGGGCTTGGTTTCAAAAATCCCCTTGATATCTAAGCACCCTCCTCAGACCATTCAGAAAGAGTGGCCCTGCTCCAGATGGCATCAGGCACAAATGCGGGCTCAAGTTAATTCTTCTTGGATGGACACTGCCCACTCAGTCCCTGCAGTCTCATTCTCCTCCAGTCACTGGGGAAGGATGCAGCCCCCAGGAGTGAGCCTCAAAAGCCATAGCAGAGGCTCCCCTTCCCCACCACAGAGTGGAGGCCACTGGGACAGCTGCTTCCCATTCCTCCCACCATTCCCTCCCCTCCCTTCCCACCCCAGCCCTCCCTCTCTTCCTCCCCCCACCTCCTTCCCAACCAACACTGGGTGGGGTTCCACCTTGGTCAGGCTGCCTCAAGGAGCTGCCAGCGCCCAGAGCAGGTCCACAAAACAGAAAAACAACTATTGGCAAGCACAGAAAGGGAGAAAAACCACAAAAATCAGGGTTGCCTCTGTCTACAAATAACTGCAGCTCCCAGGGGTCGAGAGAGGCTGCGCTCAGCGGCGAAGCTGGACATTCTCTTGTGCTTAGGACAGTCTACCTCACTTCTCTTTGCACCAACTTCCCTGTCTCCAAATATACATGTCAAGAGTACTGCATATATGTCATGCACACAAAGGGGTGCCCATTACAGGTATGCTCCCAATGCCAGCTGTTGACATGGTCTTTTGGGGAGAGGGAAGTAGGTGATAGAAAAGAAGTGTCCCTTCTCCTTGGGGCTTCTCTGTCAACAAAGTCTTGTGCACACACAAAGACAGGAGTATGTACGTGCACAGTGTGCACACGCACACAGACACACACTAGATTCTAAGGGAGGGTGAGGGCCAGGCCTGGGAGGCTCCCTGGGCCTGGGCTGGGCTCCTGCCCAGGCGGTTCAGACAGTGGTGACGGAGAGCAGAGGGTTGTAGATTCGCTTGCCGTCAGCTGAGCGTGCGCCATGGGCCAGCATCTCCTGGATAGTGATCCAGTTATCCAGGATCTTCTTGTTCCGCTTCTTCATGGTTTTGCGATGGCTCAGGGCGATGATGTTGAGCTCGGGCTTGCTATCGCCATTCTGCTGCTCCCTCAAGCACTCCAGCCGGCTCTGCATCATGAACTCGCGCCGCTTCCTCTGCTCCCGTGCACGGATCAGGTGCTGCTTCCGCTCCTCCTTGCTCCAGTAGCGGCCCATCTTCATTTCACTCACTGCGTCGTCATCAGTAGTCATGCCGCTGCGCTCCTCCCGAATCTTCAGGGCCCGGGCCTTCAGCAGCCGATCTCGCACAGGCCGCTTGGCCACGTAGCGTGTCCCGTCGCTGCGAACCTTCACCTTCCACTCCATGCGGGGTGCTTCAGCGGCCGCAGCCACCACCCCACCCACCCGAGGGCCCCCAGCCAAACTCAAGGGGCTGTGGCCCAGCTCCTCCAGGCCACGGGTCGGGGCCAGCTGCACACAGCTATGGTAGTGCTCGCTCTCCTGGCCTTGGCTACGGTGGCGCCTAGAGAGGTAAGGACTGCCTTCAGGGCCCACACGCTCCAGGGTCACCCCCGTCTTGGGGCTGCGTCTGACTCGTTCCTCTGCATGCTGTCTCCGGCCCACCTCAGGATCCCGGGAGAGGGATCGGAACTTGGCGGGGCTCCCAGGCAGAGGAGCAGCCTTGGAGGGGATGGCGACAGGGGGACCAGGCGGGGTCCGGTTCAAGTTGGAGTTGCCAGCAGTGGCCCGCTTCAGAGGGCTCTCAGGAAGGGGCTCCACGAGCAGTGGGGTGCTGCGGCAGCTCTCCCCGGTGTTGTAGGCGCTGGTGCTATCCTTGTCAGACTTCTCTGGCAGCTCAGAGATGTCAGACAGCTCATGCTTCTTGGGCTCACTGGCCGCCAGGTCATAGAGACTCTCCTCCTCCAGCAGCCAGGCCTTCATGCAGCGCTCGCGCAGTTGTTGCATCTTCTGCGCCCGCAGGATGTTGCGACACTTGAACTCCAGGTGGCGAAGCTCCTCCTCCAGCATGGCCATCTCGTGGCCCAGGCTTTCATTGCGGTTGACATCCAGAGCACTGTTGCTACCAGAGGCCCGGGAGAAGACAATGCCCAGCTGGTTGCCATTCTCCAGGTGGCACTTGATCTCCAGTAACTCCCGGTAGCGCTCATACTCTTCATCTGTGAGGCCAGGCACATCGCCACCTCCAAGCCCTGCCCCCTCTGCCAGCAGTGAGTCCATGCTGAAGTGGAAGTCCCGGCTCTGCAGAGAATCCCCTTGCAGGCCAAACTTGCGCAGGCTCCCAGGGGTGTTGGTGGTACTGGGGGGCTCATCCCCCAGCAGGTCATGCTCAGAACTCTCTTCATTACGGGTACTCTCATCAGTCCGGCCCACCCCACTGTCCAGCTCCTGGCTGTTGCTCAGGCCTGGGCCCCCATCAGGAGCCCCCTTCTCCTCTTCATTCCCAGGCTAGAGTAAAAAAGACAAGCACACTCAGGGCCCCAAAGGCCTGAAGGGGCTTCAGGGTTGTTTCTTCTCCTGGCCCAGGCTAGAAGACCCTGCACACTCCCAGTCCCTTCCCCCTTCTCTCCCTCTTGCTCTCCCCAGTAATAGCTCTTCCTTACCTGTTGGGCAGGGGGTGACTTAAGCTTCCGAGCACGCAGGTCCCCCTCATTCTCAGAGCCAAAATCATCCAGGAAGTCATCCCGGTCACTGTCCTTCCACCGCTTTGCTAGCTGCAGAGACAGGCTCGAGCTAGTCCCATTGCTTCAAGATTCTCCCCAGATGCCCATCAGGTCCCTTCTAGGTCAAATAACCCAAGAAATGGCGTAGTCTCAGCCTATTCAGCTATTAGAGGCTGGAAGGGGAAACAAGATCTGGGACAGCTCTATCCACCCACCCTCCAGCTCCAGACTGTTAAATGTCTGTGCACTTGTCACAGATCAGCAGCTTCCAAGGAAGCCAGCCCAATGTTGAGAGTCCCAGGTCACCTGAATATGGGTACACACACCTGGCTCTCAGGCCGAGCAACCAGCAGGGAGATGTTGGTGTTCTCCTCCTGGCTCAGTATAGCCACTGCCTCTTCTCTGTTCTGGACATCCATGCCGTTTATCTGGCAGGCCAGGGGACAATCAACAAGGATGCTAAGGCTGGCTTTGGGGCTAAGACACGTACTTGAGTTCTGGGAGGGTATAAATAAGCAGAAGGTGCCAGGGAGAGAATGGTCTGGCCCATGCAAGAGGACATGTGTGTTCCAAGGACAAGACAGTGAGAATGTAGGGAAAGGAGGCTGGGGAGCTGTCTGCAGATGCCATGGCATTTGGAAGGGAGGTTGAGCAGAGGAGAGGAGGCACAGCCCAGGTTTTGAACACAGTAGGCTGCCTGGCCTCAGTCTTGGCTCTCAGTGAGAGCTGGGTATGGGCTAAAGAAAGGGAGCAGGGCCATCACTGGGTGCAGCAGGGCCTCCGGTCAGACCTGGAAGCCTGCAAATGCTCACCTGGATGATGCGGTCTCCCTCACGGATCCGGCCATCTTTGGCTGCAATGCTGTTGGGATTTACCTGCAGGACACGTGCATCTTGGGGACTCAGTGCCTAAAGTGCCCTTTTCAGTGAGAAGGGGCAGCCTCACCTTGGAGGTCCCCAAAGCAAAGTGAAGCTCCAATTTCAGCTCAGAGCAGCAGCTTCCAAGCTCCAGGCAGCAGAGGCAGAGGCAGAGGCAGTGGGCCCCAAGTTAGTCACTTCCCCAGCCTGGGAGAGCATACACTGACCAGAAGCTCCCTAGCTTCTGCCCAGTACTCCCACACCCTTGCCTGTGCCCCAGCACTCTGTGCTCCTTTTCATGGAAGCCTGTTATTTTATTTACCAAGAGCTGGGCAAAGCAAAGCAGCTGGTTACTCTCAGAATGAAAAAAAAAATCCACTCTGAGGCTCCATGGCCAGTGGAAACTTTTCCATCCAGAAGACTAGCTTTATTATGATACTGCTAACAGAGGGTAGCTGAGGAGCCATGTTCCCTCTGGTGGACACACAGAAACTTGGCAAAGGGAGGGAGGGAGGTGGTCCTCTGTCAAGTCCTAGGGAGTTGGCCCCACAATGTGGGAGAACAAAGCCTGGGCACCGGTCTCCTGCAGAGGACTGCTTCACTGGCCCAGTGAAGCTATCAACTGCCTTGTCCTCACCACCCAGCAGCATACTGAGATGCCCAGGGAACAGTGTTTGAGCCCTGGGTGGGATGTGTGGAGAGGCCACAGGGATCATGTGGCATCAGAGCCCTCCCTATGCCAGAACTTCCTTGGCACCCGCCTCCATACCTCTCCAACGTAGATGCCCAGGTCTTCCTCGTCATCCGTGCGGTAGCACACCATCAAGCCCAGCTTGTCCCGGTGGCTGCTTTTGTACAGCTCCACCTCCTGCCATAAGGGTACGGGAGGAAGCAGAAGTAGAAAGACCCAGACAGTGTGAGCAAGGAAGCCTGCAGCCAGTGACAGCCTCAGCCCAGACTGTCTCCCCCAGCACCCCTGGCCTTCCCCTCCAGTCACCTAAACCGAGCGTCCAGCCCCTGGCTTTGAGGGCTTCCTTCTCTTACCATCCCAAATGGTGCACATATTCAGTGGTCTCCCTACCAGGAAATGCCCAAGACAGACAGGATGCACAGGACGCACGGGACACACACATGCGTGGAACATGGACTCACCAACACAGACGTAATGCACTACTACCTCACCCGGGCCCTCCCTGACTCAGCCAGATGCGCACCAGGAAGGACACACCAGGGAGGGCTCAGTGGGAAGAGCCAGGAGGCCCAGCCGCCTGGGGGCAGCAGGAGCCAGGTCTGAGCAGGGCTGCAGCCAGCCATCCTGTGCCGCCTCCTGAGGCTGGCTGCGGGCCCTGGCCCGGCTCACCTCATACTCCAGCTCGTCCATACGGTCTGGCTCCTGTGGGCCGCCCTCCATGAACTCCGCAGGGTCATAATACTCATGGCTGATGGGGGGGCTGCCCAGGAGAAGGTGGGGGTCAGGCAGGCCATCTGTTCCTCTGGCACCCTAACCCCAGCTCCTAGCTGGCCAGCAGGGAGCCCTGTGCTGGGTACACTCTCCATGGCAGGTAGCCCAACAGCTTCCTCCAGAACCCCTCCTTATAACTGTATGCATCCATGGAAACATCAGAATGCTTCTCAACTGTGAGTGAGCAGGGATCAATGCTGAGGACCCAGGCATGCCTAGCTCTCCCTGCCTTTTCTCCCAGAACAGGGACAAACTTCTCCAAAGCTCCAGGTGCCCCATTTGTCTCCCAGTACTGGCCACACTCATGCAGCACCCCCAGGAGTTAGCCAGGAGGCCTGCAGAGCAGATGGGCATCCCCTCTGCCACTAAGGGCTGCCCTCCTTGCCCCAAAGCTAAGGTTGGCTGCTCATAGCCCTATGGCCTACCTCTCTGCAGAGGAGGGATCCCAGGACCACCTCCCTGCAGCCTGGGCCAAGATTAGCAGAATGAGTCAGCGCTCACATGGTCATGGGCCACCAGGCCTGGATGAAAGGCCCTTCTTCTGAGCGGGCCAAAGAAAGAAGCCGAAGAGATGGAGGAAATTCAGAGCAGGTAGAAGGATGGGACAGACAAGGGATGCAGGAAGATTCAAGGAGTGATGCTGTGAAGAGCAGAGACAATGGGGCGGCAGAGGAGGAGAGGGGATGGAGGAGCAGCGAGGTCCAGGCAGGTCAGCCCCCTTCACCAGCTGCTGCTGAGCCCAAAGCTAGAGGCCTGGAGGTTTCTGAGCCCTCAGGTGCCATAGTCGGCTCTGGAAGCCAAGGAGCCTGCTTCCTGCCTGAGAGGCAGGCGGAGGTGGGGGTCTCCCTGCCACTGTCAGAGCTGCATCAATGACGCCTTTGGACATCATGGGGACAGTTGCCCCAGGTGGTATGTCCTCTCTGGAGGCAGGGCCCAGGGCCCTCCTAAGGGCAACTCACAGCTCAGAGAGGACGTACGGCTCCAGGATGCCCATAGGTGGGGTGGGCGGGCGCAGCTTGCCCAGCGCCATGATATGTTCGAAGGTGATGTCAGTCTGAGTGCCACTGTCCACCAGTTGAAGGTCGTGGCAGGAGCTGTCCCCCCGCAGGCGGGGGCTGCGTCTCAGCACCTGGATCACCAGGGGCTCCTTGGAGGCTCTCAGGGCCTCCAGGGTTTGCTCCTGAGACAGCTTGGAGAGCTCCTTCCCGTTTACCTGCAGCAGAGACACGTCTCCATGAGAACCCTCGAGGGCTGGCTCCTCCCCTCTAGGGGTGAAGACCAGCAGGACCCTGAGCACCCCAATATGCTCAACTGAGGAATGCGCTCTGCATGCATGGTCCTGGTTACCCTTGATGCCCTCATTCTCAGGCAAACCCCACTCCTCAACCTCTACCCCACGAGTGATGTCTGGGGATTTCTGGGCCATGCTGAGAGCCAGAGTGACCTAGAGTCTGTGCACTAGTTCTGTAGACTGTCCTCACCCCAGAATCTCCTTCAGTCTCTCCTTGATAAGGAGCCATCCACAACTCTCCTGTCCTCCCACCCACTAGGACGGGACCTACTTTTCCTTCAGGCAACACTGAAGCCAGAACTAGCACCTAGAAGACCCCCAGAGAGCTCCTTAACAACAGAAGCACTGCACCAGCCAACCCTAATGAACAGCTACACTGTTCACCTCAGCCATCAAGGCAGGAGGACAACCCTGGCAATAGGTGGGATTTATCAACAGATGCCTACTTGCTAAGGCTGGGCGGGGTCTGCTGGGAGAGGAGTTGGAAGATGTTAGAACTTGATCTATGTCCTCATGGTGGTGACTGACTTGCTGACTAGAAAAGTCTTTGAAACTAGAAGTCTCCTGGAATAGCAAGGTGGCCTAAGAGAGCTGCCAAGAAAGTGGTCCTGACAAAGTCACCACCAGGTTTTTAGGCACCTGCTACATGCCAGGTTCTGGGCAGGGTCCTTGATGTGATCCCCCCCACCTAGTCTTGACCCCTAAGTGTTACTGCCTCCATTCTGCAGATAGGAAACTGAGGCTCAGCCAGGTGAAGGGACTTGTATGAAGGTCAGTAGCCAGAATGAGGTATAGGGGAGGATGGGGCCATGCCAGGCCAAGGCCTGGGGCCCAAGACAGAAGTAGAACCGGGAACAGCTTAGTAGGAAGAACAGGGCAATCTGGGGTAGAAGGTGGTGCACTGGGAAGCAGAGCCAGAAAGGGAGAAAAGCCATTAGGAGGGCAGGCATCCCAGCTGAACAGAGAGTGAGGAGTGCCTGCAAAGCACCATGGGCAGAAGGCTGGCCACAGCCCAGCCAGCTTCTGCAGAACCCTGCGTACTGGGTCCTGAGGTGGTATGCTGCAACTTTTATATGCAAGAACCCTTCTATCCTTTCTCAAAGAGATGCCTACCCAGAGTGCACACCCATGCTAGTAGCTGCAACATCACAGCCCTAGCCTGGAAGGTAGCCTGTCTAGTGGAAGCCCAGGTATCCCAGGGACTCCTCCTAGCCTCAGTGATGGCTCCTGACTTCTGAGCCAATGTAACCCAAACAATTATCTTTCTGCTATTTCATTATGTCCTTGTAGATAATTTGTTTTCTAGGTCTCCCTTCTCCCCCCAATATTCATGTTCTGAAAAGTGTTCAATCCTCAGTACCACATAAAAGTAAATTTAAAATATAAAGATATTTTAAAAATAAGAAAACCATAATGAAGAAAACCAAAGTTGCCCATCATCTCAGGAATGTAAATGCTGTGGCCCTGTGGACATACTTCTTTCTAGTCTTTTCTTTATGTCTACCATTAGATAGGTGCAGGTTCTCAAAGCTCCTACACACCAGCCCTACTGGCTTGGTCCGTACTTTACATCACTAGGATTATTATTATTATTATTATTTTTAGTTTTGCTATAAAGTATTTAGCAAAGTTGGGCACTGTGGTCTACACCTATAATTCCATTGATTAGAGAGGCTTAGGCAGGAAGATTATAAATTGGAGGAAAGCCTCAGCAAATTAGCAAGACTGTCTCAAAATAAAAAATGAAAAGGGCTGGGGATGTAGCTTAGTGGTTAAGTGCCCCTGGGTTCAATCCCCAAAACCAAAGAGAAAGAAAAAAGAAGAGTTGTATTACTGAATTGAAGACTGTGAAGGAAAGAAACAGAGCTTTCCAGCCAAGAAGGTATTTGTTGGGAAAGTGTCAGAAAGTCAGGTGGGACAGAACATGATGTTCCTGCGGGAAGACCTACAGTAGACAGGCAGGCTGGAGAAGGGGCTACGTGCAGGACAGTGAGCCTTTGACAGGGATGTAGGAATGACCTTGAAGCCCTCCAGCAGTGGCTGGTGCCAGTTGTTAAAGAGAGCCATTAGCAACATTTCGACTGTAGAAATGTACCACTAAATGAATGGTATTAAAAACAAAGGCACTAAAGACTGAGAACTCCTGGCTTTCTAATTTCTAATTACTTGACTGCTCTTACTGTCATCTCTGCTCTCTGCATTATTTCCATCCAGTGTGTCTGGAAGTGAATGTTAAATGATGGCATGTGTACGGCTGCACACCTCTTACTCCTGCTAAGTGACATCATGGTGATGGCTTGAAATTGGCTACAATGGAGCATTTACACCATGGAAATCGGCCAGTGGCCTAACTGGGTACTTTATTTTTGTTTTGGAACATTTGCTAGCTTACCACTGCCCTTGAGTGAAAGCAAACATGGTGGCAGAAGGGCTCAAAGCTGTTCTCAGGGTTTTCGCGGGGGAGGCTTCTCCCTGAAATTCCCAGGGCAGGGCAACAAACATACTGTGGGATGCTCAGGTGACACAGAACCGCAGGAATGTGGTTTCTCCCTGGAATCATTACCCAGCAGCAGTGTTGCTATGGAAACTGGACCCAGGCACTGGGAACAGCATGTAGGGCGGGCTGGAGGGGGCTGAGCACATACAGTCTCAGCACCTCAGATCAGGCGCCATCAGAGAGAATTGCTTGTGACAGCCCAACAGGCTTTTCTTAGCCCAGGTGGGCTCTAAGCATAGGCAGATCTGGGGTGGCAGCCTGAAGCCTCCTCTCTCTCTTCCTCCTCAGGTTATGGTGGGCCTCAAGAGCTAATGAGGGTGGGTAGGGCGGAGACAAGCTGTAACAGTGAAGAGATAAACCCCCCTGGGGAAGAGAAGGGCTACCAACCAGATGGGACTATGCACCACACCAACCAAGGACACATGGGTCCAGTAGCAGTGAGGGCCACAGTGTGTTCCTTCACTTGCTGATGGTAGCAGGTATTGTTATCCTGTATGGATCCAACTGTTGTGAGGCCATGCTCTGAAATGTTCCTGCTCTTCAGACTGCCTGCTGGACCACTCTGGTCTCTAAAAGGTGTCCAAGGCCATGAGTGGAGCTCAGAGGTAGAGTGTCCAGCAGTAAAAAAGAAAAAGGTGTCCAGACCCAGGCCTGCTTACCGCAGACATTCCTGCCACCCCACAGGCTAATGTCCAAGCATTCTGGACACCACCCCTGCTGCTATCTGGGCAGGACCCGCCTAGCAATTTCGAATGGATCAAAGACTTTCATGGACAAGGCCAAGACATCTGTCTTGGAGACAGTGAATAGTGTTAGGCTAGATATGAAAAGAAACTCCAAGGATGAAAATAAACAATAATGGAGGAGTTGTTAAGACTTTGGGACAAGAAGAGACACCTGAAACACAGGCTCGGAGCATAGAATTGATGACAGATTATGGAGAATTCATCAGAGTTCCTACAAAACATTAATAAAACACAACTTGATAGGAACCTTGGCCAAGGACGCCAACAGGCATTCAGTGAAAGGCATCCCAAATCAGTCATGCTCTACAGTGCTGCAGTGAGATGGGATACGCCTTTCAGGATCCTTGGGTACTAGCCACATGGCTAAAACAATGTGTGTTCCGCTGTCACAGCAAATGATGCAGCAGCCCAAAGGCTGCTCAATAGTACAGTGGTAAAACATGCCAGCAAAGTTGTACATGCAGTTTAGAGAAACCACATGCACTATTAAGGTAATAGCATAAAGAGAAGAAAATCTGAATTGGGAGTAACCATGTGGCATCCCCCCAGGAGAGGAGGGAGGAACAGCAGGGATAGTGTAACAAAGGGCTTCAGGTCCACCTTGAACACCTTCTTCAAAGAACAGTGAGGAGGCCAGCAGGGTCCAAAACAAGTCTGGAGGTCAATGCTTGCAGAAGCAAGTCCAGGAGGCCTCAGGACACCCATACTGGAGTTGTCTTCTCTGTCAGGAGGGGTCTCACAGATGAGCCACATGAAGACACAGAATCTCAGGCTACCAGAGGCCAACTGGGGAAGCCCCCTCCTCACTGTAGTGAGGGCTGTGGACAAGTGGGAGGAGGATATCCCCATGGGTTGTGGAGCTCTGGGACTAAGAATAGGTGGTAGGACTGTGAGTGGGGGTGGGGAGTGAGGTCTAGGTATAAATGGGCCATGTGACAGTGTGAGTCTGTACAGCAGTGAGGGTGGCTATTCTCCTTCCAGGATGTCACCTCTTCCCCTAGCTTCCAGGCTAAGACCATCAACAGCCTGTGTCATTTTCCTATCTTCTCCGTCCATGCTGTGCCTGGTGCCCAGTGTACCTCACCATGGGTACCTTCTGTCCCTCTGGAAGTGGCCTACAGGGCCAAATCCAAATCAATTCATGCCACACTAGGCTTTTTTTTTTTTTTTTTGGCACCAGCGATTGAACCCAGGGGCATACAATCGCTGAGCCATATCCCCAGCCCATTTTATTTTGAGACAGGGCCTCACTAAGTTGCTGAGGCTAGCCTTTAACTTGCCATCCTCTTGCCTCAGCCTCCTAGACAACTGGGTTTACAGGTATATGCCACCACAACTGGCTTTTTTTGGCATAGCCAGAGGTTTATTTAAATAGATACACATTCAAGGGAGAGTGGGGGCAATCTCAAAAGAGAGGCACCTTTGGGGTAAAAGCAAGGAATAGGTATTCAAGACCGAATGTGAGCCCTCTCTAGAGGGATAGACAGCCCACACTACTCTTCCTGACCTGTGAGTATCCAAACTAAGTCAAAGTAAACATCCAAGGGCTTGGTATGGGCATGGAGAGCACCAGGCCTCCTATGACAAAGTCCCAAGGAGTCCTTGTCACAAGACCAAGGTTCCCTGAGGGCAATAGCCTGGCTATTTTCATATGCAGAAAGAATCACATAGCTTTCCCT